CAAGGGAGTACCAAAAATAATGAAATCAAAAGACACACAAGCCACGCCAATGGTAAATGAATCTTCAAAAAACTAGCTTCGACAAAGGAGAAATGACGTATCAAATATCCGACGACTATTCAGATATAAATTTTACAAAGAAATCCCTGAAATGTTTCTATGCGAATGCTCGCAGCATTGTAAAACCAGGAAAGTTCGACGAGCTTAGATGCGTCATTGCCTCCACGCGAGTAACTATACATATTATTATACTTACGGAAACCTGGATTAAGAGTGAAGACGAAGCAAAAATGCTTCAGATACCCTCTTACACTCACTACTATAATTATAGACAGAATAAAAGGGGAGGAGGGGTCTCAATATTTGTACACAACAATCTCAAACATCACCTTGTTGAGGAACAATGTGTAGACGACACCCATTATCTCTGGATATACGTAAAGAAGTTTTCTTTAAATGTCGGTGCTATTTATAAACCCAATAAAATGAACATCGATAATTTTCTCGAAATTTATTCACAACAATTATATAAATTGAAACGAACAATAGTATTTGGTGATTACAATCTTGACTTACTCAACCCAGACTTAGCCACAAAGAAATATAAGCAAGTTCTGAAGGAACACAATTACAGAATTTTGAATAAGATTAGTCTCAAGTACTGCACCCGTGAAACTGCTTCAACCAAAACGATGTTGGATCATGTCTCCTGCAATCTTAACGAAAATAATTTTCATATTGTTACTGTGGAATCTTCGATGTCTGATCACAAACAATTATTTTTAGAGATAAAGCAACACCAACCCCCACCTGTCATTAAACAGAAATATAACGCCATTGATTATAATAAACTATTTGAATACCTAGGTGACTATTCTAAAAATTTGAAAGAACCAGAATACGAAATATTTTCTAACAAATTACAAAGTGGCTTGGATGAATGCAAAATACCAAAGGTCAAACATCTAAATCCTCCACGACAAGACTGGATAAAAAAGGAACTATTGGAGGAGATAAATAAAAAGAATGTGCTATGGCAAAAATATAAAGCGGACATAACAAACACGGAACTCAAGAAAAGATATGAACAAATAAAAGTTACGATCTCACACAATATAAATAAGGCAAAGAGAGATTACTACCTGAGGAGGTTTGAAGAAAATTCAAGTAAACCACGAAAAATGTGGCAACTTATTAACGACCTGACAAGAAATAGGCTACACGGCAGAAGTGGACCGGATAAACTTGAAATGGCAGCTGGTGTAATTACAGACCAAAAAGAAATATGTGAAAGCTTCAACCTATACTTCTCGACTATTGGGTCAACATTGGCAAATGCGATCATACGAAAATTTAATGCAGGTACAGTGTTTGAGGAGTGTGGATTGACTGACGAATTGGTAATGGATTCTCTGGAACCAGTAACAGTAAAGGAAGTAATTGCTATAATTAAACACATGGACTGTAATACTGCATCTGGTATTGATGGTGTGACGACAAAAACGATTAAACACGTTACCCCTATTATTGCAACAGAACTAACAGACTGCATCAATAACTGTATAACAAAAGGTACGTTTCCAGATAGTTTAAAAATTGCAAAAGTTGTCCCAATTCATAAGTCTGGAAGTAAATTTGACCCTAGCAACTACCGCCCCATATCAGTTCTCCCGGTGATCTCTAAGATTTTTGAAAAGATTCTTTATAACCGCCTAGAAATGTTCCTAAATTCAAAAGACTTCTTTTATTGTAAACAGTACGGATTTCGAGCCAAGTCAAATACTCTAGGAGCAACAATTGATCTCGTATCTAAAATAAAAAACTGTATTGATAAAAAACAAGTGGTCTTGGGTATATTTGTAGATCTTAAGAAAGCCTTTGATACTATTAGTCACGACATACTATTACACAAACTAAACCTCAGTGGTATTAGAGGCAAAGCACTTGACATTTTTAAATCATACATGGATAACCGTAAACAAGTAGTGAAAATGGGTGATTGTGAAAGCAGCGCCCGTATTCTCGATTTCGGCGTCCCTCAGGGATCCATATTGGGCCCTCTCATGTTCCTTGTCTATATTAACAGCATCAGTGAATTGGGCCTAAAAGGAGACATTTCCCTATATGCTGATGATACGAGTCTGTTTTATTTTGGAGACTCAGTTGAAGATCTAATGACTGACGCTCAGAACGATCTTATCTACTGAATGAGTGGTTTCAGTCAAATCTGTTAACTATCAATACTACAAAAACAAATTATTTAATTTTTGCTGCAAAAAATAGAAAAAAACAGATAAACCTTGAACTTAAAATAGACGGCCAAATACTCGAACGAAAATATAAAGAAAAATATCTTGGGCTAATCTTAGATAGTAACCTGACCTGGAAAGCACACATTGAAAAAATTAAACTTAAACTAGGCTCACTTTCAGGGGCACTGCGCAATATATCAAAATGTCTCCCGCAAAGAGTTAAATATCTAATTTACAATTCTTTAATTAAACCTCATATAGATTATCTCATTGAAATTTGGGGCACTGCATGCAAAACTAACGTAGATCAAATTCAACGAATTCAGAACAGATTAATCAAAACCCTATTTAATTATAAATATCGGACACCTACTGAAAAATTATACCAGAACACAAGGTTAATGAATATAAAACAAACATATGTATACTACACATGTATTTTAATACGTAAAATATTAAATAAGGAAATCCATTCAAACTTAATTTTTTTAACAAAACAGCAAACACGTAAAATAAATCTTAGACGTGCGAGTTACTTAGTAACCCGTCCCCCTAGAACTAACTATGGAAAAAGAAGTCTGGAGTTCGAAGGTATTAAATTATACAATAGACTACCATCAATGATAAGGCAAGAAAAAAGTTATGTGCGGTTCAAAAATTACTTAAAATTAATATAATTAATAACTACAAATTATGAATACTTGTAAGTATAATTAAAATATTGACTAGTGTTTACTCCTAATAACGTAAAAGGCAAATTCTAAATAGTTTAAATTAAATACCAAGTACAATAGTAAAATAAAACAAGTACATTAAGACGTATAAACTATGCCATCAATGCCACATCTAGTAAAAATAGTTCATGTATCAAGTCATTGATTAACTTATTGGTTTACCCACATTTACTTCATATTTTTGTTATAGTTTACTGGTCTGCCCGTGTTGCTTGATTCTGTTATTTGTGTATATTTATCACTTTACTCACATTTTTAAATAGTGAACATTTGTATTTGTTTCTTTTGTATTGTTTTTTATATTATTATGTACGTACTACTGTGCGCTCTAAATTGTTTACTTTTGTATGAAATATTGTTTCTCAGTAAGTGAATTATGTATATGATTCTTTATGAGAAATAAAGATATTCTAAACTGAAAACTGTTTTTTCAAACCGGTGGGGAATATTCTCAAGTGTCCACTTGAGAATCGAAGTTGTAATGATATGCATTGAACTGTTTGTCGAGATTCACTTCTCATGTTGGGTAGAGGTCTTAACTTATTACCTTTCTGTAACTATTTGTCCTGTCTAAATCAGTGGTACCTACATACTCAACTTTTTTTAATAGGCTATAAAACGCTCCAGTTATGGGATCCCGGGCAGCAAGCGAGAAATCATATAATCTAACTCACATAATTAAATTTGTTTGCGACATTTGCCAAATTTTGTAGCACGTTGTGACGTAACGACCCGAACGTCCCACTCCTAAACTTAGCGCCATTTTATCTAAGTATTGCAACTTAATACGAAAAAATAAAAATATACGTGTCTAATATTTTTTCATTGTATAACTGACGGACTAATTAGATTTTTAAATTTGATACCCTGGAAACTTCCCTATTTTGAAGCGAAGTAACAAACTGCCCACACATGTGCCTTCGTTCAGCCTAGACTCTTTATTGGACGACACCACATTCCCCGCTGCAATCTGATAATTTAGACTTTTACAGTTTTATTATATACTAGCTTTCACCCGCGGCTTCGCTCGCGTCACAAAAGTAGCCTATGTGACATATACCAATACACACAGCGCCATCTACACCAATACTTTTGTTTCCCCTCGGGAATATCAAATTTTTCCGGGATAAAAGTACCCTATTATTTAATCCAGACTTCTAACTTTACGTCTGCAAAAATTCAAAGCAATCGGTTTAGTAGTTACGCCGTGAAAGCGGAACAAACAAACAAACAAACTCACTTTTGGATTAATAATATTAGTAAGGATTTTTTAATATTTTCAATGTATTATTTGTGATTATGGAAATATGCCCGGTATATGGCAATACGCTCACCCCCTATTACTTGGGACTCTTAACATAAATAGGGAAAAGTGGGTGTTACATTGTACAATGGCATTAAGTGCCGAAATGTGCACCTCTGCCTATCCCTTCGGGGATAAAAAGGCGTGATGTTATGTTATTATGTTCAATGTATTCGAATTAGCCCTAGAAATATTTAATAATTTTGAAGCGAAGCCAACAATCTGCCTATACATGTGCCTTCGTTCAACCGAAGCACTTTGTTGGACGACACTACATTCCGCGTTGCAATCTGATAATTTATACTTCTACAGTTGTATTACGTATACAAGGTGTTGTTTTAAAGCCGCGTCTGAATCAATAAAAAAAATTGTAGGTAAATATTTTTCATTTTTCTGTATATTACGGAAATCCGTAAGTGCGAACTACACGCCGACGTCTTGTAACTAGTTTTATAACGCGGCTTAACACACACAAACTCAAACACGTAATTGATATTATTCCTAATTCCATAAAACTCCAACAAGAAACATTGCTGTCGCTTATTCTGAAATACTTTCGAACTTAAACGATTTATTATAGCCGTATTTTTAACTATTGGCCCGAAATTTTCTTTTAAATTGAACCTTTATGACTTCTGTGACATGCCCCCGAGAAATGACACGGTTTCAAAACTACACCTTGTATATTTCTCTTGTCGCAGGCACAGCTAGATGTCAAGTTATAGCAGTATGTCTCCTTCAGACGAGGGATTCGACAGATATGAACCACCCTACTACTGCCAACCTTCACATCAAGGTAACTATCATGACGCTTAATTTTTTTAATGGCACAAGCCCGCCACAACCTTTCAAAACCGCTGCAACTCCTCCTTCTCCTCTTATAATATCTTCTGATTCACTTCGTTGCGGGAACCAAGACAGTTACTCATGTCCCTGGGACGCGCCGGACTTCAATGTTCCGGTGTTTGCATGGTTGTATCTACTGTAGATCCTGGCTTACAGGAGTTGCAGCGGTTTTGGGAGTTTGAGGCGGGCTTGTCCCTTTTAAAAAAAAGGTCCGACGATATACATATATCATGACGCTTGTTATAACCTCAATTAGATATGGCTGCCTCGTTGATCTAGTGGTCGCAAGTGTGACTGCTGGTCAAGGGATCTCGGGTTCGATTCCCGGGTCGGGAAAAGTGTAACTAGGTTTTTAAAAAAATCTCAGTAGTAGCATGGAATCTGGAATTGTGTCCGGTATATGGCAACAGGTTCACCCCTTATTACATGGGACTAAAGTGGGTGTTACATTGTACATTGGCATTAAATTTTCGTAATGTGCACCTCTACCTACGTCTTCGGGGATAAAAAGACATGAAGTAATGTTATGTTAATTCAATATGGCTGACCCATATACATATCTTCAGTCACTTAAACTATGTGATATCAGAGTCGAACACATTTGTTAGCCTCTACTCCTCCCATGGTAAGAATCGATTAAGCCCTTTTGTCCACGACGCCTCATATGTCGAATGAGTGCAACTTGCAAATGACGATAGGTGGATTTGCCGTTTTCGGCTTACTCACGTAATAATTTGACGAGGAACTCGACTAGTTTCAAGCCATGCTAGAGTCTCATATTCATGAGCAGCATTTCTCGACCCGCGACGCGGCGACTAGCGTTACTGCTGCTCATGAATATGAGCCTCTAGCATGGCTTGAAACTAGTCGAGTTTCTCGTCTAATTACTACGTGAGTAAGCCGAAAACATAATAATAAATTTAGTATGTCTCACGAAAGTAACAATAAAAAAAAATATTCTGTAGTTCATTTTACAATCGTCAGTCTTCGAAAGTGCGAATGAAATGCAGTTTACGCGGGCATCATGCTACTAGACCAAACAATCATATAAGTTAGTTTTCACAGTGTGTGAAGATGGATGCCAGAGATGCGATGTTAATTCCTCTATTGTTCCCAGGTAGTCCCATGGACGGAGGAGTGTATTGGCCGGCAGCTAATGGCGAGGGACAGGAGTACGACGCCCAGGACGTGTATCACGATACCACACACTACATAGGAAGAGGATATGGTAAGAAACACCTAAATAAGTAATTTTAAGTGTGGGAGAGCCATGCTTCGGCACGAATGGGCCGGCTCGACAGGAGTGATACCACGACCTCACAGAAAACAGACGTGAAACAACGCTTGCGTTGTGTTTCGTCGTGTGAGTGAGGTACCGGAGACCAAATTACCCCCTCCCTAGTCCCCGAATCCTCCACAATCCTCAAATTCCCAATTCCCAAAAGGCCGGTGACGCACTTGTAACGCCTTGGTGTTTCGAGTGTCCATGGGCGGCGTCGATTGCTTACCATCAGGTGATCCGTCAGCTCGTTTACCGGCTTATGCTATAAAAACAAAAATAGTTATACGACCAAGTTACTTTTCTGAGATGCATCAAGCTTCCTTGTGCGTACTGCTAAAGAGTGGAATTCTTGGCCAGAGTCTGTATTTTCTGAAGGGTATAACCTGGCAGTCTTCAAGGTCCGAGTGAATAGGTTGCTTATGGGACGACGTGCTCCATCGTAGACCGCATCATCGCTTACCACCAGGCGAGATAGTGGTCAAACGTTGGCCCATCAAATTTGAAAAACAGTTGTCACTTTATAACTACCTTATTACCTACCTCCTTTATGCGGTGGAGAGCCACGCTTCGGCATGAATGGGGTCCACCGGAGTGATACCACGGCCAAGCAAAGCGTTGTTCCACGTCGTGTGAGTGAAGTTATCGGAGGCCCAATTACGAGTTTAAAAAGAGGAGGTACTATGTTCGGATGATTGTTTATTCATGGGATATGGTCCGAAGTGGGTGATTCAGTCCAAGTCTATATTAGTTACAGCTGTCACCGCGTCAAACTCTTTTTTGCCAAGCTGTATGTAGGTAGAGGATTGTAATATGTGTTACTATTTTATCCCAATTATACAATTGACTTCGTGAATGTATGTTTAAGTATCGTAGTTATTGGCCCGGAGGTCAAGACGCCCGCTTCTCATGCATGGGTTCGAAACCTACCAACGGCAAGTACCAATGTGACTTTTTCCGAGTTATATGTACTTTCTAAGATTATTTACACACCACTGACAAACGGTGAAGGAAAACATCGTGAGGAAACCTGGACTTATAATTTCTAATTATAAGTTTGAAATCGCCAATCCGCATTAATCTGTCAAACACCAAGCGGTCACCGGTGACCGCGACCTATTGTTCTTTAATTGTGTCTATAAAACCGGTACTCGACGAGTTAAGCAAGCGTGATGATTAGTGCTCAAACCTTTTTGATGTGTGGAGAAGAGGCTTTGCTCAGCAGTGGGCATTTATAGGCTGTTGATGATGATAATATTTAAGCACCGTCTTGTTTCAGGCTATGAGGAGATGCAGATGGCTGGGAATGAACCGTACGATTCCTACCACCACAACATGGCACACAGCTTTCCATCAAATAATACAGGTAAAGACTTTCTTCATGGTACAGGGCGGCAAGTCACCTGGGGGCTTACTCTTGAATTCAATTCCGATCGATCGACATTAGTATTGTGAAATTTCGTACTCTTGAGTTGCAACACTAGCGCCCATTGCATCCGTATTGCGTGGATATTGAATGAACTAAATGGTATTGAGTTTGGCTTTATATTCCGTACTCTGAAAGCTATTGTAACAGCTACTATTGTGATTGTTTAGTGTTGACATTGTATTGTACATAATTATTGAGAATTTATAGGATTGAAATTGAATTGACATTGAGGTTGGTTTAAAGAGTAAGCACCCATGGATGGAGACTCGCAACACTAGTGGAGTCTGTGGAGTTGGCCGAGTGGTCGCAAGTGCGACTGCCGGTATTGGAATTGTGTCCGGTATATGGCAATAGGCTCACCCCCTATTATATGGGACTCAAAACATGAATTGTGAAAAGGCGTTACATTAAACAGTGGCATTAAGTGCCGTAATGTGTACCTCTGCCTATCCTTTCGGGAATAGAAAGGCGTGTTATGTTAAAATAAAAAACAGAACAAAAAATGGTAACGTCGTATGTTCATTATTAATCCCTCATCCCCACCCCCTAAGATCGGGACAGTTAACTAAAATAATGGGGTTAGGGCTACTTACAAACAAAAGGTTTCTTCATCCAGGTTTAGATTGTGACCTTCAAAATCTCCCGCTGCGCTACGACCGGCCAGCGCCGCCCTCTTTCGTAAGAGTAGCCAAAAGAAGGACTACTGCCAACAAGAAGGAGAGAAGAAGAACACAGAGTATTAATACTGCTTTTTCAGATTTGCGGGAGTGCATTCCTAATGTACCGCCTGATACGAAGCTGTCCAAGGTAAGTTGTCTAATTTTTATATGATATTAAATTGTATATTTAGGATTTTAAGGACCTAGTGTATTAGGTAATAAGGGGCTTTGGGAAATTCTTCATGCTTTTGAATCTGGACTGCCTCGTTGGCCGAATGGTTGCAAATGCGACTGCCGGGGCAAGGGGTCTCGGGTTCGATTCCTGGATCAGGCAAAGTATTATTGGATTTTTTTATAAAATTCTCAATAATAGCACGAAATCTGGAATTGTGCCCGGTATATGGCAATAGGCTCAGGCTATTACATGGGGCTCATAACATAAATAGTGATAAGTGGGTGTTACATTATACAGTGGCATTAAGTGCTGTAATGTGCGCCTCTGCCTTCTTCGGGGATAAAAGCCGTGATACTTGACAGGAATCAATAACAATGAGTCGACAACTTCCAATATATCTCGAATGTAGATGAGTGTTTCGAAATTTATATCGAAATCTAGAAATAATATTTTATAGAAATTAAGTACAGGTAACCTACCTATAGCAGCTTTAAGAGTATCTAGAGTATTCTAGAGCTCGTTCCCACTTGTCGGATATGAATATTCATCGGAGATTCTAGTATCGGAGTACTTTAAATGAAGCTATTCATCATACATTTATCGAATACTGATTTTGTGTCGGCGTCTGGCCTGGAAAAAACCGTATCGAATCTCGCTCGCCTTTACTTAAGTGTCGTCGATTTTGCAGGGTATCAGGGCCGACTTCTTTCCCCTATTTGAGCCACTGGATCGTTGAGTATTGACATTCTAAAATAATTGAAATGCTTGATTTCGTCACTTCTGAATTCCCTTCTGAATTGGTTGCACCCAATATTTTCTATCCTTTGCTCTCTTTCTTTATTTAAATAAAACAAGAAGAGATTCGTCGACGTCCATCGTGCACGCCCTCGTGAAGATGCTTAAAATTGGCATTAGCTTATTGCTTACTAGCTTTTACCCGCGGCTTCGCGCGTCACAAAAGAATAAAAAGTAGCCTATGTGACATATACCAATACACACAGCGCCATCTATACCAATACTTTTGTTTTTCCTCGGGAATATCAATTTTTCCGGGTTAAAAAGTACCCTGTTATTTAATCCGGACTTCTAACGTTACGTCTGCAAAAATTCAAAGCAATCGGTTGAGTAGTTACGGCGTGAAGGCGAAACAAACAAACAAATAAACAAACTCACTTTCAGATTTATAATATTAGTAAGGATGACAGCCGAATTATTAACCGGATTGTAAACAAAGCTACCGACCTCTGATTAATATAAATATGTATGCGACATCCGACTAGTGGGAACGATTTTAGATTTAGTAAAAAATCCCCATAAAAATTACAAATTCAAATTTAATTTTCTTCCAATTCCGTCTAACTACATTTCCCAACCATACCCTTTTCAAAGTCGAACCGACGGACATACATCCGTCTCACTCTTGCGTTGGTATCACCAGATGGTGCGAAAGAGATCGCAGAGCATCAATTCCGCATTTACAAGTTTGAGACAGCATATCCCAAATGTTCTACCAGACACAAAGATGACGAAGGTTAGTTTCGATTTCTGGGTTCGTCATGAAATTATTTCTGGTATTTTACTTGTCCACTCACTCAAAGTCAAAGATTGGGGATGATGACAGGGTATGAAAATTAAAAATATAATTAGTCCGTAAGTTAGGTAATGAAAAAATATTAGACACGTATTTTTTTATTTTGTCGTATAATAAAACAATACTTAGATAAAACGAATCAAAGTTTAGGAGTGGGGGCTAAAACGTCATTCCTTAGTATAAAATGTACTGAGAAGTGACGTCACGCGACATTTCAAATCAATATATCTTCGAAACTATTCGTTTCTGTGAGAAAATAAAAAATACGTGTCTAATGTTTTTAAATAATCTATCAGACGGACATTAAAATAAAAATTAGTCGTCTACCCCATTACTGTCAAACACCGCGAGGACACCGGTGACCGCAACCTATTGTTCTTTAATTGTGTCTATAATGACGGTACTCAAAGGGCTAAACCATATTTTGATACATTTCCAACGTCAACAAATACAAAATACTTAACTAATAGTCTGTCAGTCAGTCCCTCAGTGAAGCTAGGTGAAGCTAGGTGCTCATTCCAAAATGTAGATTCGAATGGAGAAGAACGAGCAAGAAAATCCATTCGTTACTCTTTTTAAAATAGTATGTTCTACAATGTCTCTGATACATATTCCAATACTGTACGTATATGTGAGAACAATGCAAAGACACGCTTGACGCATTATAGGTACTAATTACAAAACTTACTAAAATAAAAAAATAAAAACATCTTATAGCCTAACATGGTGCTCACATATGCATACTGGCAATCCATAAAAATAGTTCTTATATACAAGAAAAAGGAAACTGACATTGATTTTACTGTTCGGGGATAGGGGTGAAAGGGTAGAAGAATCATCTAATGGTAAGCGATCAGCGCTATCCATGGATATCCGGGAAACTAGAGGACGTCCCCATACCTATTATTGGAAGCAAGTCTAACAGCTCACACATAGGACCTACTTAGTATTTAGTAAAATTTCCGTGGTGCTTGGCGACTGGGCTTCACTCAGTTGTACAGTCTCTTTTTGTGCCTTTAGGCTTAATTCATTCTGTCTCCTGCAGTAACTCACCGAGGGAAATGGAAACTATCGTTTTTTTCTTCTCCTCTTATAATATCTTCTGATTCATTTCATTTCGGGAACCAAGACAGTTAATCATATCCCTGAGACGTAGGACTTCAGTGGTCCAGTGTTTTCATGGTTGTATCTACTGTAGATCCTGGTGCACAGGAGTTGCAGCGGTTTTGGGACGTTGTGGCGGACTTGTTCCATAAAAATTTGCGTTCCCAGCCTCTTTTGTAAATCATATATTAAGTGTCCCAGAAGTTAAAGTTGAAAAAAGTTCCTAGCCACGTATTTACTTTTCTAATTACACTGACATTAAATATTACACAATGTAGGTTACACTCTGTTACAACTATTTTTGCTCTTTTTTTTCAAATTCCAATAAGTTTCTTGTTGCATACCTATATTTTTCTTTATCTGCTTTTGGTAACCTGACCTGATTAATTATTTTGTTTTTCGGCACACTCACGTTACTATTTGATATATTTGACTATCATAGAATATTATATTCTGCTGTTGCTGTTGAATGTAAGCCTCTAGCATGGCTTGAAACTAGTCGAGTTCCATCAAATAATTAAGTGAGTAAGCCGGAAACATAATAATTAAATGATCAGGTTACCAAAAGTAGATAAAGATGTATAAATATGTAACAAGAAAAGTTACTTTAATTTGAACGGATTTTTTTTTATCTTTATTTAATTACAGGGTTTTTTCTTAAAATAAAACGACACCCCGATTATTGAGTACAAAAATAACAAAAAAGAACACTTAGACTTACATTTAAGTTAACCTACCCGCAACCTAGTACCCATAATGATCGGAAGTTATAGGTAACTTAAACCTTATCATTTCTTGACAAAAATACTAATTTTCATGCTCCTCGTGTGAATGAGCTTACCGAAGGACTACTCCACCCCTCCACCCCCAAATCTTTTATCTAAACCTACTTGCAACAACCATGTTGCGGGTGTCTATGTCTAGCGCTTACCATCAGGTGATCCGTCTGCTCGTTTGCCACCCAACTCATAAAAAAGTCCTCGCATAGATACTACCTACTTGTGAGTTTCTTTACTCTTGTTACTATACTTATTTATTTTTATTTTTAGAAGCACAGACCACGCACTTAGGCAAGTAAAATACCAACAAATAAGATTCAGATGACCTCAGAAATCACGATACTATTTCTAATTTTTAATTTTCGATTAATCTTTCTTTTCCTCTTAGATCAAAACTCTGCGGCTGGCCACGTCATACATCTCATATCTGCTGAAGGTATTGGAGACGGATGGGGAACCTGCTGGCGGATTCAGAGCTGATCTCCATCACACACCGCCCAGGAGACGCGCTGTTGAAAGTCAGGTTAGTTGTCGTTTGGATTATTATTATTATATAGAAAGAAGAAAGAAAGAAAAACCATTTATTTCTACACACATAACATAATTAAAAAATAAAAATAAAATAAAAGCTAAAAAAGTAAAAATTAAGTCTTGTCCATGGTCCACAGACTTATTATTTTACTGAAATCATAGAATACTTAATATCTAATATTATCTGTGGACCATAGACAATGAACAATCTACTTACTTCATATCTACTATCTAGTTGCATGCATTAATTAGTTTTTGCGTTAACGAAATTAACAATTTATTAATATTTTTCATTACAATCAATAGGATAGTTGACAGGGTATGAATATTAAAAATCTAATTAGTCCGTCAGTTAGATAATGAAAAAATATTAGACACGTATTTTTTTATTTTCTCGTATAAAGTTGCAATACTTAGATAAAATGGCGTTAAGTTTAGGAGTCGGAGAGAGTTACGTCACAGCGTGTTACAAAATATAACACGTTGTGACGTCACACGATACATATTTCAAATTAATATATCGTGGAAAGTATTTAATTTTGTGAGAACAGAAAAAATACGTGTCCAATTTTTTAAATGAATGTAGTACCAGACGGACATTAAAATGTCGTGCGTCCCTTTAAACGAAAATGTATGATAAATCAAAGCCTAAATTAATAACTCTTCAATTTAAGTACAATCATCATTATCATCAACAACCTATAAATGCCCACAGCTGACCAAAAACCTCTTCTCACACGGAGAAGGTTTGAGCATTAACCACCTCGCTTGTTCAATGCGGGTTGGCGATTACAAACTTATAATTAGAAATTATAAGCCCAGGTTTCCTCACGATGTTTTCCTTCACCGTTAGTCAGTGGTGTCTAGATAATCTTAGAAAGTACATATAACTCGGAAAAAGTCACATTGCTATTTGCCGTTGGTAGGTTTCGAGCCCGCATCCTCGTACATGAGAATCTTTATTAGACAATTATTGTTCGTTTCATTGAAATTGCATAAAGTTTAGTTAAATTGAGATAAAGTTGCTGGCAAAAAGAAAGAATTTTAAGTGTAGGAGAGCCAGAGCCGGCTCGACCGGAGTGATACCACGGCCGAGCAGACAACCTAGTGAACACAACACTTGCGTTGTGTGTTTCATCGTGTGAGTGATGTTACCGGAGGCCCAATTACACCCCTCCCTTCCCCAATCCCTGAATCCCCAACAATCCTCAAACTCTTAACCCCCAAAAGGCCTAAAACCTTTACGCCTCTGGTGTTCCATGTGTCCATGGGCGACGCCAATAGCTTACCATCAGGTGATCCGTCAGCTCGTTTACCGGCTTATGCCATAAAAAAAAACAAAGATAACATTTCTGTGAGCCCGAAGCTTCTAGTATAATTATATTTTAACAGACTAGTTGAGTACCCACGAGCTGTAACTGGCGCCTCTAAGCAGTGCACTTGAACAGTCGGTATGATAACAACATCTGTTCGTAGCGAGATAATGTTCGATTCCCGAGAGAAACATGCAGCCGATACATTATTAGTTATTTTTATTTTAGCTCTGAATGTATTGATGAGTCTGTTTCTGTGATTGAGTTTTTAATAGTCACTTTATAGTCTACAGAAAAAAAGTTGGTTTCCGCTGTATGTCCCTTTGTAATAGATCTCATCAACAGCCATTTCAACGCTCGATAGATGGCATTACGATCGAGTTAGATGGCGCTATGGTTTCGTTACCGGTCGAGTGGTCGCACCACCTCGGGCAAGGGTCGAGCAAAGTATTACTGGGTTTATAAAAAATATCTCAGTAGTAGCACGGAATCTGGAATTGTGCCCGGTATATGGCAATAGGTTCACCCCCTATTACATGGGACTCATAACATAAATAGTGAAAAGTGAGTGTTACATTGTACAGTGGTTTAATGTGCACCTCTGCCTAATCCTTCGGGGATAAAAGGCGTGATGTTATGATGTTATGGGCAATTGGTGTTTCATAGTCTCTGTCTATCCCTACGGGAGTCAGTGACATATAACGTACAACTGATGCCACGTAGAACTGATATTAATTACTAAAACGTATCTACCTTTGTAAGTAGCAGCGTGATGTTTTGTTTACGAATGCCACCTCAATTTAGTCTGCTGTAGACAGAAACCAGGTATTCTCTATAAAACTATTTAATGTTTAGTATGTGTTTTCTTCTGCGGTCAGCTCGTGCCTCGTGGCAGTGTGTGGTCCAAGTTACGAGATAACAGATGAAATTAAAGAATGTAACTATATTAACATGGCGTCAAGCTTTATAAATGGGCCTGCTCTTGACCAGGGGGCTTACTCTTGAATCCAATTCCGATCGATCGACATTGGTATTATAAAATTGCGTACTCTCGTGTTGCAACACTAGCGTCCATTGCATCCGTATTACGGGATATTAAATGAACTAAATGGTATTGGGTTCGGCTTTATATTCCGTACTCTGAATGCTATTTCAACAGCTACGGTAGGGGTTGTATAGTTTTGACATTGAATCATTATTGAGATTTTATTGGATTGAAATTGCATTGACATTGAGATTGGTTTCAAGAGTAAGCACCCAGAACCAGACCCGAGCGTACGGCGCCCAGCGTTCCACGCGCGACACAAAGAGCCATCAGACCACCAAGGATGGGGCCCAATAGGGCTGATGCCGATTCGGAGTCGCGGAGAACCTAACGGGTTATAGGTTAGGTACGGCCCGAGTGTATAGGTTACTTATGGGTCGACGTGCTCCATCGTAGACCGCATCACCGCTTACCACCAGGCGAGATAGTGGTCAAACGTCGGCCCATCAAATATATATAAAAATGGAGCCTTCAAGTAATAGAGGATGTGGTTGTTATATTTATAACGGGCACAATTCTAGTCTCCATGCTATTATTTTTTAAATATTCGATTAAAATAAAAATAGTCTCAAACATAAGCGCCTAGCTTCACCGACGGACAGACTGACAAACTATTATTTATTTCATATTTGTTGACGTTTCAAAAGTACCAATTTATGGTTTAATTGAAATAAATGCTTTTGAGTATGAGTTTGAATAATAGCCATTGCTATTGTTGCTTGATATTCACGATTCCAACAATTTTTTATGTTATAAGCAGCCAATGAGCAGACTAATCGCCTGATAAATCAATTAACACCTCCCAAGGACACCTGCAACACCAGAGGCTTACTCTTGAATCCATTTCCGATCGATCGACATTGGTATTATGAAATTTCGTACTCTCGTGTTGCAACACTAGCGCCCATTGCATCCGTATTGCGTGGATATTGAATGCACTGAATGGTATTGAGTTTGACTTTATATTCCGTACTCTGAATGCTATTTCAACAGCTACGGTAAGGGTTGTATAGTTTTGACATTGAATCATTATTGAGATTTTATTGGATTGAAATTGCATTGACATTGAGATTGGTTTCAAGAGTAAGCACCCAGAACCAGACCCGAGCGTACGGCGCCCAGCGTTCCACGCGCGACACAAAGAGCCATCAGACCACCAAGGATGGGGCCCAATAGGGCTGATGCCGATTCGGAGTCGCGGAGAACCTAACGGGTTATAGGTTAGGTACGGCCCGAGTGTATAGGTTACTTATGGGTCGACGTGCTCCATCGTAGACCGCATCACCGCTTACCACCAGGCGAGATAGTGGTCAAACGTCGGCCCATCAAATATATATAAAAATGGAGCCTTCAAGTAATAGAGGATGTAGTTGTTATATTTATAACGGGCACAATTCTAGTCTCCATGCTATTATTTTTTAAATATTCGATTAAATTAAAAATAGTCTCAACCATAAGCGCCTAGCTTCACTGACGGACTGACTGACAAACTATTATTTATTTCATATTTGTTGACATTTCAAAAGTACCAATTTATGGTTTAATTGAAATAAATGCTTTTGAGTATGAGTTTGAATAATAGCCATTGCTATTGTTGCTTGATATTCACGATTCCAACAATTTTTTATGTTATAAGCAGCCAATGAGCAGACTAATCGCCTGATAAATCAATTAACACCTCCCAAGGACACCTGCAACACCTGGGGGCTTACTCTTGAATCCAATTCCGATCGATCGACATTGGTATTGTGAAATTTCGTACTCTTGAGTTGCAATACTAGAGCCCATTGCATCCGTATTGCGTAGATATTGAATGAACTAAATGGTATTGAGTTTGTCTTTATATTCCGTACTCTGAATGCTATTGTAACAGCTAAGATTGTGGTTGTATAGTGTTGACATTTAATAATTATTGAGATCATATTGGATTGAAATTGCATTGACATTGAGATTGGTTTCAAGAGTAAGCGCCCAGAGGCTTACTCTTGAATCCAATTCCCATCGATCGACATTAGTATTGTGAACTTTCGCACTCTTAATTATAACACTAGCGCCCACTGCATCCGTATTGCGTGGATATTGAACTAAATGGTATTGAGTTTGTCTTTATATTCCGTACTCTGAATGCTATTGTAACAGCTACGATTGTGGTTGTATAGTGTTGACATTGAATAATTATTGAGATTTTATTGGATTGAAATTGCATTGACATTGAGAATGGTTTCAAGAGTAAGCACCCTGAGCAGCGTTATGGATACATTGTCGGCCTTGTTTAAAGGCCTTACAATAATTCTTAAAAAATACCTATAACCTTTTAAAAGTTTTCGATAAATGGGGTAAGTCAAACTACATCTTCAATAATTATATAACATTACGCCTTTTATCCCCAAAGGTAGATAGAGGTGCATATTACGGCACTTAATGCCAGTGTACAATGTAACACCAACATTTCAATATTTATTTTAAGCGTCTCATGTAATATGGAGTGAGCCTATTGCCATATACCGGGCACAATTCCAGAATCCGTGCTACAACTGAGAATAGGGTAGATGCCTAATTTTTATTAACCGACTTCAAAAAAAGGAGGAGGAGGTTCTCAATTCGACCGTATATATGCTTTTTTTTTTTTTTTTT